TTCTAATTTTTCATTTATTTTGTCATTTTGTTCTTGTATTTTCTTCCAAAATTCTTCTAGGGTTTTGTCTGTGTTTTCCTTGGTCTGTCTCTCAAACCTTTGGAGATACGTAACTATAATTCTTTTGAATTCCTTATCAGGGAGTTCCAGTGCTACATATTCCTCAAGGATGTGTTTTCGGTCTGTATCCTGGTCCCTTGTTTCTCCTGCTTTATCTTGCTTCTTTGTGTGGACTGTGCTGCTCTGTTGTCTCCGAGGCATTGTGACGTTTTTGTGTTTATATTTAATTGGTGATTATATGTTGGAGTGACTTGCCCACTATTTTCGTTTTCTTTGTTTTGTTTGTATGTTATCTATATAGGCAGGGTACTGTGCTGTGCTCCTCTATTTACTAGTTGACAACACTTATACACTCACCACCTGTCTCCTTTCCTTTGTCAGCCTCTCGAATGTCCTTGCCGACCCTGGCAAACAGAGCCTGTTCTTAGGTCCCTGGAATCTGAATCTAGAACAATGTTTTTGTGTAGTATGTTACGTCAGTTGAGCTTGGCCCAGTGACTCACTCCCTCATGGTGTTTGGCTTTGGCTAAGAAGTTATCGTAACTTTGCCCCATTAGTTTTATTATATATATAGACATTCTTATTTGTTGTTGTTGTTGTTGTTGTGTGCCGTCGAGTCGGCACCGACTCATAGCGACCCCTCCTTGGGTTTCCGAGGCAGTATCACTACGGAAGTAGGATTGCTCAACCTTCCTTCCGAGGAGTGGCTGGTGGGTTTGAACCGCCAGCCTTCTGGTTAGCAGTCAAGTGCTTTAGCCACCATGCTACCAGAGCTCCTGACATTCTTATAGCATATACAAATAAATACATATGTAGAAATATCGTCTGCCAAACTTATATATGGTCGTGGGTATATTCCCTTTTGCCTAGACATACCTGATCATTTAACAAGTCTATCTATATATCCACTTGTAGATTAATGTTTGTTATCACTGATAATGCAGTATTATGTATGTAAAAGTGTTTATCTTCATTGTCTGTACCTCTTGTGCACCTCTCTTTGTCTTCCTTTACCTTAGTGTTATTATGTTGGTCACCTGCAATAAGACCCCCTTTTGTGTCTCATAGAATTGAGAGATTTTCCAGCTGCTCCCAAATGCTGAGAGATTTTATGAAGCTCTCTGGTAAAATACCAAAGGAACAAATAGGCTCTTGGCATGGTATGATGACCTCTGTGAGGGAGGCTGAGCTTTAGTGAGAGATGATCACTGTTGGTGAGGCTGGCCCATACTGACCCTTGAAGAGGAAGTGTTGACCTTCTTAGCGATTCATTCGTACTCTGAACTCAAGGGAACAGGTGTCATTAGCTGGTGGCCCAGGTGGGCTTTGGGAGAAATACCAACACAAAGAATGAAACTGGAGGTGTGCTGGACTCCTACAGTTGAGCTCCTCAAGGCTAGTTGCAGGAGAGAGCAAGTGGGCTCCTGGTGGGCAGATGGGTCTCGCTCTCCCTGAGAGTTTCTCCTTTACATGGAGTGCTTCAGCCATGCTAGCATTATCTATGTGTGCAATTAGTCACTCATCCTTGAGTAATATATTAAGCACTTTCTGTATGCCAGGCTCTGAGGAAGAAAGATAAACCCAGATTCTAGTCTTTGAAGAGTTCATTGTTTGGTGGTCAAGGCAGGAAGGGAACAGACAGATTGTGGTCCTGTGAGATAACTGCTAGTGGGAGGAGGAGCAGGATGTGGTGGAGGACTACACAGAGGGATGGGCATTAAGGGGAGTCTTCCAAAGGGTGGCTAGGCTGCTTGCTTTCTGCAGGCACTCTGTGGTCACAGAGCACATGATGCCAAGTCCATATGGAGTAGAAGACAAGGCCCATTGCAAGGGAGAAGTCAGGCCCTCAGGCTCAAGGGCAGTGGAGAAAGGCCACTCCAGCCAAAGAAAGCAGTGAGCAATGCCTATTAGAAATAGTCTCTTCTCACCAATGCTTTTAAAGTCACTTTAACAGAGGTGTGCTTTTGTCTCTTGCAGGGAGAGGTTGTGGAATACGTGGATGACCTCTTAGAGATGGAGGAGACCAGCTAGTCGACAGCAACCAAAGTGACTTTGATATTCAGGAAACACAGAGTCTTTGTCTTCCTTATTCCCAATATCCCAAGCTGTTGATACCTCAAAGCCTTCCCTTCATTATCTAAAGTGAAAGGGAAGCCCCATTTTCTCTCACTCCATGTAACTAGGGGTCTGCCTGTCTTCCCTGTGTTCACACTTGTCTTCTCATCTTCACACTTGCTTTCCTTGTGTTCACACCTTTCTTCCCATCCTCACACCTGCGTTCCCTATGTTACCTGCCTTTCTCACCATTCTGGCTGGAAAGACAGTCTTCCGTGGTTTGTTTTTTTCCTCCAGAAAATCAGTATTATTTTTTAAATAAGAAAAGCACTCTTAAAAGATGATAGTTGTGAAAACCTACTTTGGCTTCTCTGTTCTTCCAGATTTTAGTCTCCCTTTTCCTTTCCCCTGGTCAGGAAAGATGGTGGAAGAACAAAGCTAAATTTCTCCAAGCCTCATAGTGATCTTCACTTGGTCTGAACTACCCCATTCTGGCACTCATTGCTCAGTTATAATTCTCAGAGTTGGAAATGGAAGAAACCCAGAAGGTGTCTAGTTTCATTCAGTTTTTCCATAAATATTTATTGAGCAACTACTATGTGCTAGGTCTTGAGCTATACACTAGAGATACTGCATGGAATAACAGAAAAAAGTACCTGTCATCACAGAGCTACTATTCTTCATGGAGAGACTGATAACAAATAAACAAGACTAAATATTTTTTAAAAAAGATTCCTGATGCTATGAAGAAAATCGGGAAAGGGGGTAAGGAATCTGGACGATGAGCCTGCAACTTTAAATAGGGTGGGCAGGGAAGGCCTCACTGAGATTGTGACATTAGAGCAGAGAACTGATGAAAAGAAGCCTCTGGGGAAAGCATTCCAGACAGCAGAATGGTACGTACAGTGCCGTAAAGCGAGAGCATGATCGATATGGTCAGGGAATCGCAAAGAGGCAAGGAGTAGACTGGGAAAGGGGAGGAATGGAGGGAGATAAGTTTAGAGAGGTGTAAGTATATGGGTAGGGGTGAGGGCAGATGGCTTAAGGCCTTGACGCCAGTGTAGGGCCTTTGATATCTGTTCTGAGTAAGACTGCTATTGCTCTCTTTGGCTGTATTTGCCCCTGTCAGCAGAGTCTGTACTCTCCCAGGGGACTGTGGCCAAAGAAGTTAGTATTATTATTGGCTTCATTAATGGAGGCTGTTTATGTCCACAGCAGCCTCCCAGTCCCAGTGCCCCTCCAGCCCAGCCCTGAGTCATATCATACATGACTTCCTGCTGGGGAATGTGGCCTTTCCCCATGGAAAGCTGGGTTCTTTCCTCACCACACCCTCCACTCCACCCAAGAAACTTCCTTTTGAAGTTGGTGGGGAAGAGGGTCACAGGGCAGGGTGATAGAGGGGAGCCCAGTGAGTGGACGCCCTACCCCAGGATTCCTGAGTCTGTATAGATAGTGCACCCAACTGCTGCGTATCCACATAGTTTCTGGTTGCATTGTCTTCTCAGCTGTATGATGAAATGTAGAAGAGACCCCCACAGGGACCTGGGCTGTGTTGAGCATTCTGACTCACTCCGTCTGTGTGGCCTGCAGGGATTCCATATGGTCCCCTATCTTTGAGCCTGGGGCAAGCTGTTTTGTGGATGATGATCCGCACGAGTGTATGGAAGAGGAGGCCGGCGGTAGGGAGGGTCCTCATTCATTCTCTGAACTCCGTCTCTTCACTGGAGATTGAAAAGTACCCTACCCCTGAAGAAGAGACCTTGGTGACAGTATGGTCAACATTGTCAGTGCTTTGCTTTGAGTGAAGGCTGTGGAACCAGGTTACTGAATTTTTTATTTTAAATGAAAACCAAACCAATCAAAAAAAAAAAAAAAAAAGGTGGGCTGGTTGCTCCAATCTGCCATGAAACCCCAGTGTGCAGGCTGCACCGAACGACCTCAACCCAACATCTCCCAGAGTGTTTCTTGGAAGAGCCTAGGAAATTCCTGGATTGAGGCTTCATAGGTCCAACATCATTCTGGCCTGTTTCTTTTTTGAAAAACACAAACGTATTTGTAAGCTTTATGGGAGTTTCTAGGCCCACCCTAAGATGCATCTTTTGGCCTCTTACCCACCTGAATGAATCCCAATGTTGGCTGTTTGTTTTCCTCTAGCTGGTTGCAAGGAGATTGCCCAGCGTGGGTCAGGGGAAGGGAGCTCTCTCTAGCCCCACTGCCACTTGGGCAACCCAAACAGGGAGCACCCACTGTGGCCACTGTTAATGTGTATTTCTGGAGGTTTGTGCATATGCATATGTTTAAAAGTGACTAATTGACTGAAATGCAGCACATGCCAACATATTCAACACACTGAGATCTTTCTGATTTTTGAAAGCTTCTAATTACTGCTGCAAACCTCTTGTGCTCACCTCTGGGATTGAGAAGGGGAACCACAGGGAATGTTGGCCACAGAGGCCACCTTAGGAAATGTGTGCTTTCAGGAGTTCTTATTAAAGGAACTTTAAGAGCACAAAAATTTTATTGAATCAAACCCAGTGGCAAACAGAAAATGATTTGTTAGATTGTCAATGGGAAAGCATTTATTATGACCGCTGGTGGAATCAACAGTGGCCGACTTTTGCCAACGTTTATGGAAATAACGTTTCTAAGTTTTAAATGTGAGCAGTAAGCCTAAGCGACTTCAGTTATTTGAGAAAAAAAAAAAAAAAATCAATACTTAAACTGTGGGGAGAAGGTGGACCAGCTCCAGAGAAAACATTCTCATTTAATAGTGTTTGAACATGGAACTGCAACACAGTTTGTAACGAGGCACTGAGAAAAACCCACAACTAATCCTCATCGCAGCTGTCTGAACTCTTGATCATCTGCCATCCCCCAAACAGCGACTTCTTTTTTCTGGTGACTCCACACTTGAATGACCTAGTGTGGGGAGTTTAAACTATGTACAAGGGGTAGGGGGGAAGGAGAAAAGAGCCTTAAATAAGTCTCAGCCAAAGGTTTTGTGCATTAAGACTTCCTGTGCCTCAGCCAGGGGCAAGACTGTTCCCCACGCCTGTTCCCGGTAGCATCTCCTGAAAAGGAAGGACACCTTCACCTTCAGGCTTTTGCCTTGACTGACTCATGCCTAACCCAGAAATAAGAGTCAGGATCAGCTGTGGTTTTGTGCCATAAACCAAAAAGCTCACTGCCATCTAGTTGATTCCAAAACACAGCGACCCTATAGCACAGAGTAGAACTGCCTCATAGGGTTTCTCAGGCTGTAAATCTTTACGGAAGCAGACTGCCTCATCTTTCTCCTGCGGAGTGGCTGGTATGTTCAAACCACCGACCTTTTGGTTAGCAGCCAAATGCTTTAACCACTGAGCCACTAAATCTCCCTTATAGTGCCATACCAAAAAAACCAAACTCATTGCTGCTGAGTCGATTGCGTCTCATAGTGACCCCTCCTTGGGTTTCCGAGGCAGTATCTCTACAGCAGTAGATTGCCCAACCTTCCTTCTGAGGAGTGGCTGGTGGGTTTGAACCACAAGGCCTCTGGTTAGCAGTTAAATGCCTTACGTGCTATGCCATAGAGCACTTTTTCTCTCTAGGGCAGGCAAGTGAGCAGCCATGTGCTAGCACCTAATACTGTTCCACTGGAGTCCCCAGGTAGTGCATACAGTTAAGGTCTTGAGTACTACTAGAAAGGTTAGTGCTTCGAACCCACCTATTGGTACCTCAGAAGATAGGCTGAATGACCTGCTTCTGAAAGGTCACAGACTTGAAAAATAGAGCAGCTCTGTTCTGTACATACGGGTCATCATGAATTGGAATTGACTCAATGGGAACAATAGCACTGTCCCACAATAAATACCTGGATTTTGGTGCTTGTTGAATAAATGAATTGGTTCAATATCCTCTTGGAGCAGCTAGAAAAAGAAAAGCAGGGAATCAAGCAATTTGGCCAGTAAGTACAAGGTAGATTCCAAGGTTTTAACTCCTTTAGGGTGGTAATCAGTAGGCTAGATGATAAATATTGCTGATGTCTCTTCCCTACTCTTTCTCGGCATTAAAGCAGTTATGTACAACCTCACTTTCTTGAGAAATTGGGATTTGGAAAATGATTGAAACCTAAGGTTTTTTTTTTTTTTTTCCTAAAAGGATCATATTAAAAGTTTTATTTTGCTTATTTTCTACTGTTCTTTCTCTTAATCACACCTGTGCATTCTAGGATGAATGTTTTAATGAGCTCTTGTTTTGTCAGGTGTGTGAAATTTCTGACATTCATTTAGCAAAGCAGAATCATTATATGAGGGACTTCTGGAGCTCCGGTGGCATAGTGCCTAAGGCATTTGACTGTTAACCAGACGGCTGGTGGTTCAAACCCACTAGCTACTCCTTGGAAAGTTGGGCAATCTACTTCCATAGTGATACCGTCTCGGAAACCCAAGGAAGGGTCACTGTGAGTTGGGTCCAACTCCACGGCAGTGAGGTTTTTTTTTTTTTTCCCCCCTGGATCTTAGGTAGCAGGTAGGGGTGATCCCTGTGAACCATGTGCTAGCCGAGGTTCTTACAGGCAGCCAAGGCTCCTCTCCCCTGGAAGCTTCCCTCAGAGGAGATCTGGGATACTACTAGGAAAACATTCAGCGCTTAGGGCTTGTTCTGGATCTGACGAGCTGGTCCTTTGCTGCCAAGGTCTGAGAAGTGACACAATATTTAAACATTTTGAAAAGGACCAAAAACATCTTTAGGCATGACTGCCAGTAGCTACTGTATTCTATGCATGCAAAGGCAAGCAAGGAGTAGAAAGGGGCAGATGGAAAGAGTGAGGAATCAGCCAGTGCAAAAACAGAGTGGCCCACGTTATGAAGAGCCCAAACATCAGCTGTTTGAAGAGGTGGAGGACACAAAGGACTTGATTGATGTCAGCCTAGGGATTCTATAGGACACACTGGAAAAGTTTGGGTTGAGGAGTGGAGCTGTATAGAGTACAAGTTTGAGTGTGGGTAGATATCTGAGTGATGACCTAATGTACAAAATAACCTCAGAAAAGACGATTAGGACTGAGTCAAAGATCAAAAGACACCAAGAATATAGCCTGAGATATTCCAGGGAGGTCAGCCTTGAGAAAAACAGGACCCACCTAGATTTGATGCCTTCAAGAACTAAAGATAAAATTTATAGTCATAACTAAGCAGCCTTTCGGGAGCTCTGGTAGCATAGTGGCTAAGGCACTTGACTGCTAACCAGAAGGCTGGTGGTTCAAGCCTACCAGCCACTCCTTGGAAGGAAGATGGGTTAATCTACTTCCATAGTGATACTGCCTTGGAAACCCAAGGAGGAGTTGCTATGAGTCAGGTCCGACTTGACGCCATATTAACAAGAAGCAGCAGCAGCCTTTCCATGTCCTTTTCACAAAAGGACCTGTCCTTGGGAAATGGAACATGTATATGTGACTATAAGCTTTGGCTCAACATATAAAAATTCTGTATTTACCCACCCAGGGTGGGCAGACTTTTAGAGTATTCTGAAACTCTGTCCAGTCCCGACTTACATATAAGTGATTAAACTTTCTTTTCTCTCAGTGTGATTGAATTGATTACGCGTCATTCTGGACATGAGCCCACACTTAGGGTAACATGAAGTTCAGATTCCTTGACTTGTGCCCAGGATGGAGCACTCACAGGAGAAAGATGTAAGGGAAGCTGGAGAAGCTGTCAAGGTATTGTGGTCTGTTGAGACCAGTTCCAGCCTGATCCCATGGGAGACTCTGGGGCATGAATTATACCAGAGTTAGTCTTACCTTGAGGCAAGAAAGCCAGCCTGTTGTCCATCAGTCACGGGCTACCCTAGAGGGGGAGGGGGTGGATATAACCTTCTGGGCAAAGAAACTCCTATTAGGCCAAAGGCAGTTCCCTGAGTGAGAAGGAAACTTACGTGCTTATGAACATTTAGCAGTCAACACTCAGGGCAGGTGGAGGATCAGTTCACCTGCCTTGTTAAGGTTGGGTGGGTGGAGCACCAGGAGCATCCACTACAGCTTGGGAAGCATGGACTCCTAGTGGTCACGAAGGTAAATGGGGTCATAAGGCAGATGAGATTGGTACTGATGGTTTCTGGGATAGATTTCTCCCTTTGCCCCTTCATATCTTTTCTCCACTTTGCACTGTGTCCCAGGTGCCTGATCCCTGTGGGCTACATTGCCTAGTTTGCCCTCTGGCTTCTGATTGGATTTAGATACTGAAATGAGCTAGCAAGAGACTGTGGGCTGGTATTTGCCCAGGGATAGAGCCAAGGAAGTGGGAGGGAGTGTGAAGAAAGGACAGAGAAGTAGGCACAGGGAAGAAGTGGGAAGAATGCTGTTACATTGTGGGGTTTGCAGTGAATGTCGCAAAACAGAATGTGTATGGACTGTTGAATGGAAAACCAATTTGATCTTTAAACTCTCACTGAAATCACAATTAAAAAGAAAAAAAAAAAAAAAGACTGCAGGGTGAGAGGAGGTCTGGGTATTCAAAATCTGTTTCTTACAGACCACAGCTGGACAGCAGCCGGGCTTTTCTGAAGCCAGAGTTCTTGTCTAGCAGCGTCTTTCCTACAATTGATGCTCTCATTGGTTCTCTAACAGCTCTTCATCATCTCTGATGGTTCCCTTAACCCTGCCCACATCTTTGCAAATAGTGCCTTCTTCTTAGCCTCTTTAATGATTCCTTGGAGGGTCCTGTCAGCAGAAGGTAGGTAATCAGTTCTGTTCTCTTAGGCTAGTTTCTTAAACTTTGCCATACCTACCAACCACCTGTGCCTCTTGTTAAATACAGACTGTGATGCTGCAGGTCTGGGGTGGGGCCTGAGAGTCTGCATTTCTAAAAAGCTCCCAGGAGATGCCTGTGCTGCTGGTCAGGGGACCACACACGGAGTAGTGAGGCTTTGGCACTTCCTTATAGTGAAGTGAATGGCTGCCTCTGGTTCAGGTGAGGAAGAGGGAGGGAGGAAGTGGGGGCAACAGACAGTTTGCAGACTTCTCTGAAATGCTAAAGGAGGCAACCTGGCTGCGAGACTGAGATATAGTGAGTATTCAAATAAGAGTTTCAAGATCAGTAGAAAATCTTTTTCTTTTTAAATCAGGGCAGAGTAACTCAAAATACTTTCAACAACTGTTTTTTGAAATATTTATTTTAAATACCTCAGAAGCTTTGTGTTAATGGAAACCCCCTCTTCAGTATTCATGAGCATTAAACATTTATGTCTTAAAGCGGGTATAATGACAATTTAGGTCTACAGTGTTTTTATTTATTCCATTTCTACATGTATTTTTAAATTCTGTAACATTAAGTTAGATGACACCAAATCACTAACTTCAAAAGTGCTATGTTGTGTTTATTTTGCAGTCCATACCTACAACATAATATATTTTTGTGTTAATATTTGCAATGAATTTATTAATACATTTGTATTAATATCTATTTACAAGATTTGTATAAATTCAGTGTTCTTGGGTTATTACATAATATGTGATCAACACAACCCCATTGTTGAACCAGGTTATTTTGTACAGTTGAAAATAGAAAAGTTGTAATAGATTAGAAATGTATCTAATTTATAAATATATACAGTCTCTGGCTTTTGTTCTCTTATGTTTTGCTTTGGCTACATGAAGAATGCATTTCATAACTGTTCCAGATTCCATCTGATGCATAGGTTTTCCCTTGGTACCTTCACAACTTTGTTTTGCCCAGTTACAGGGATGAAGGACTCTATACTGTATTAACTTTATAGCTGTTTAGCCTATTATATTCCCAAAGCTTGCACCAGAAAAAGGTGGCTGAGTAGAACATATGTTGTGAGAAATCTTTTTTCCTTAGGCACAAAACCATGAACAGATTTTCAGCTGCAAAAAAAGATCAGGATATCTCTCATGCCACAAAAAAAACACTTAAGACTCCTGTGGTGTCTTGAAATAAATGTATTGCCTTCATCACTTTTAACCATTGAAAGCTATTTCTAAGGAGATGATTCATATTTGAAAAATCTAATGTATTTCTGTGCAAACACACAGAAGATTAGCAGAGATAGCATTTCAGTAGCTTCAAATGCCGACTCTGAAACACAAACCAATGCCTGACATCCGTCTAAGACAAACCACAGGTGTTACTCATCTTCTACAATTCTATATCTTCAGTCTGCCTCAAAGCTGTCAATTTATGTTATCATAAACCCATGGTTCTCACACCTGAGTGTACATCAGAATCACCTGGAGAGCTTATTAAAACACAACTAGGCTCCACCCCTAAGGTTTTTGTTTCATGGGTCTGGGGTGGGAATTTGCAGCTCCAACAAGTTCTCAGGTGATGTTAATACTGCTGGTCTAGGAACCACACTGAAGAATATTTTCATTAATAACACTTGCTGGGCCACTGTAAGATGATCTAGATGCTACACAATGGGTTGCTCAATAGTTAGGATGGACCCTGTTTCCATAAAGCTCACAATTTCAAAACTAGAGCAAAGAATAGAACAGGCACAGATCATGTCATACCCCTTTGTCAATTCCTCTGCTTTTCCCATCAAGTAGGAACCCAGACTTGATATCCAAGCCTTTGGCCCTCTTAAGACATTTTTTCTCCCATGTCATTCCTTCTTACTGGAGTCCAGGAAAATGGCTAATCCTGGGAGAGGAAACCAAGGACTGAGTTTTGTTAATCCTGGTAAGAATTTCAAGACATTCCTAGGCACAAGCTGGTCAAGGACAACTAGGCCATTGCTTCCCAGAGGAAATGATGCTGATTGGTACAAAGCCAACCTTGTTTCTAAAAAGCAGTGGGCTGTCCCACAGAATTGAGGGAATAGAGGTGGATGTATGTCTCGTCACTCCTCACCTTCCCCCAACAAAATGTCATTCTCTCCAATCCCTGAAGGCGGTCTCAGTGGGAATAAACAACGAAAAAGAAACCGCAAAGCTTCTGGACTGAGTCTTGGTTCTTGGCTCATTTGCTCTCAGTATCATCACGATATTAAAACGAAACAATCCATCGTTTTTCCATACACCACTCTAAATAATGAAATATCTATGTTCTAAAAAGGAATGCTCTCAAATGGTCAGTTTATGACACTTATTTAAAAAATTTCAATGCACGGAGTAGGTAATTTTCTTTTTGTATAAAGGAAAAGATGATAGTATGATGAACCACAAGGTGATTTTTGACCTCACATTGGAATTAGGGCCCAAGCACAGGTCTGGGATTAGTATAATACATTCCAGGGCAGGATGGCTGTGGAGACATTGAGGTGTGTGATCACACATTCTTCCTGCCCTGCCAGGTGCTCCCAGTGACACTTCTTAGCCTATAAAACAGTCCTGAGGGGGGAAAAAAAAGATGTGCCCCACTCTGCGTGTTTCACGCTATAGTGAATGTCAGAGTTTATCAGTGTGATATGTCACAGTTTATTTATTTTTCTTCCCAAGTGGCTTTGGGAAAGCACACTCCAAAGCTGGTTAGACCTTCTCCATTTCAATCTGCTGGTGGTAGTGCCGGGCCTGCCGCTGGCCAACATTCAGTTTGTACATGGAGCTCTTGTGCTGGCACTTGTGGTAACCCCACACTGCTCCCACGCCTGCCAGGAGCAGCAGCAGGCAAAGGACAGTGACAATGGTGGCGATCACAGGGCCTCTGCTGAAGCTGGGACACTCATCCCCCACACATGGCTCTAAGGTTGGACGAAGCTTCTCACTTGTACCTGGGCCAGGGACTTCCTGTCCCAAGAAGTCCTCAGACAGCAGGTATGGGAAGCTATCCTGGACCTCAGGAGCAGTAGTTTCCATTGGCAGTTGGGTGGCTGCCATGATAGTTGTGGGGATGTGGTCAGGCATCTGCTGAACAGTGGTTGTTACTGAGTCCAAGGTAGAGTTGGTGAGTGCATAGGATAGAGTGGCCATGGGAGACTTCTCTGTGGCAAATCTCCAAGGTACTGTTGACTGGTACCTGGTCATATCAGCATCCTCCTTGCTGGAGTCCTCGGTCTCAGACACATTCATGGTTCTGAGAGTCAAAGCCTCCACATCCAGCATTTGAGATGGAAGAACTGAACGACGTGTCACGGTCATATCCTCACTTGGTGTGAGGACAGTACTCCCAGGCTTCTTAACTTCCACAAGAATGGACTGGTCTGGAGTAACTAGAATACTTTCATCCAGTCCCACTGACTCATCTAACCCATCTCCATCTTCTTCATCTTCTGCCTCTATCTTCTTCCAGGTCCCATCAGTCACAGGGTAGCCATCTAACCAGGACTCATCACTGCTGCTCACCATCTGATCCCCTGCCTTGCTGTCATTCCTGCCCACAGATGACCCTGAGGGGCCCTCAGTGCTGCTATAGATCACCTTGGTTTCAGGTTCACCTGGGCTCAATTTCACATCACTCTGGTTGTCTCCAGCAGGAAACTGTTCTTTGGTGTCATCATCTATCTCTTTTTCTAATTCAGGCTTGTGGACAGTATCAGTGGGTAACCAGAAAAGATACTTCTGTTTTAGCCGGGATCCTGGCAAGTCCGTGGGGACAATGCTCCCAGCACTGGACAAGCCAGTGGTTGGAACAAAAGTCTTATCGTGGGCTTTGTTTTCACTCTCCACAGAAATAGAGACCAGGCGGTCCTGTTTAGCAGCTTCCTCAGAAGCTTCTCTCTGATCGCCATCCACCTCTACCTCTGTCCGGGAATCCTCCATGAGCTCTCTGAATGACACAGATCTGTCATCAGGGAAACTATCTTCATAATCAATATGTGCCTCAGCCTCATCTGGAAGGAAAGAGGGAAAACCTCATTAGGTCCAAAGTCGAGAGTGTAGAACACAAGAAAATGAAATGAACACCATAAGGACTGGACCAGAAGAAATAAAACTGTCATCATCCACAGATGATGTGACTGGATCACAGATTAACCCAAAGAATCTACATATAAACCATTAGGTCTAAGGTCAACATAAAACATCAACTGTGCTTCTACATACAAGCAATGGAAATAAAATGTAATAAGGTATCATTTACAATACCATAAAAAATATTGAACACCTAGGAATAAATCTAACAAAAGATGAGCAAGACTTCTACAGGCAAAAGTACAAAATATTGCTAAGTAAAATTAAAGAAGACCTCAGTAAACAGACCACCACTCATCTGTCGGCTTGTCCTATTGTGCTGGCCTGTGTGTTGCTGTGATGCTGGAACCTCTACTACCGATATTTCAAACAGCAGCAGGCTCACCCATGGTGACAGGTTTCAGCAGAGCTTCTAGACTGAGACAGACTGAGAAGGATTGGGCCATCCATTTATGAAAAAACTGGCGACTGAAAACCTTACAAATAGCAGTGAAATACTACTGTCTGATATATTACTGAAAGACTTTATGAATAGCAGTGAAACACTGTCTTCTATAGTGCTAAAAGATGAGCCCCTCAAGTTAGAAGGCACTCAAAATATGACTGGGGAAGAGCTGCCTCCTCAAAGTAGAGTCGACCTTAATGATGTGGATGACGTAAAGCATCTGGACCTTCATTTGCAGAAGCGACACGACTCAAAATGAGAAGAAACAGCTGCAAATATTAGTTAATAATTGGAACGTGGAATGTACGAAGTATGAATCTAGGAATATTGGGAGTTATCAAAAATGAAATGGAACACATAAAGATCAATATCCCAGGCATTTGTTGTTGTTATGTGCTGTTGAGTTGGACCCAACTCTTAGCGACCCCTCCTTGGGTTTCCGAGGCAGTATCACTACGGAAGTAGATTGCCCCATCTTCCTTCCAAGGAGTGGCTGGTGGGTTTGAACCGCCAGCCTTCTGGTTAGCAGTCAAGTGCCTTAGGCACTAGGCTACCAGAGCTCCTATCCCAGGCATTAGTGAGCTAAAATGGACTGGTATTGACCATTTAGAATCTGACAATCATATGGTCTACCAATGCCAGGAAGGACAAAATGAAAAGGAATGGTGACACATTCATTCATCATCAAAAGAACATTTCAAGATCTACCCTGAAATACAATGCTGTCAGTGATGGGATAATATCCACACACCTATAAGGAAGACCAGTGAATACTGTATTATTCAAATTTATGAACCAAACACGAAGAAATTGAAGATTTTTACCAACTTCTGCAGTCTGAAACTGACCAAACATATAATCATTATGTATTGATAATTACTGGTGATTGGAATGCAAAAGTTGGAAACAAGCAGCATTGGAAAATATGGTCTTGGTGACAGAAATGACACTGGATATCACATGACAAAATTTGGCAATACCAATGACTTATTTATTGCAAATGCCTTTTTTGCAACAACATAAACAGTAACTATACATTTGGACTTCATCAGATGGAATAGACAGGAATCAAATTCAGTCAACTGTGGTAAGAGATGATGGCGAACTCCAAAATCATTAGTCAGAACAAGGCCGGGGGTGATTATGGAACAGACCATCTATTGCTCATATGCAAGGTCAAGAGGAAGCTGAAGAAAATGAATACAAGTCCACAAAAGCCAATATAAAAACCAAAACCAAACTCATGACCATTGAGTTGATTGCAAATCATAGTGATCCCTCCTTGGGTTTCTGAGCCAGCATCTCTATGAAAGTACATTGCCCAACCTTCCTCCTGAGGAGTGGCTGGTGGGTCTGAACTGCCAGCTTTCTGGTCAGCAGTCAAATGCCTTAGGCACTATGCCACAAAAGCCAGCATGCGATCTTGATTTTATCTTGCCCGAATTTACAGACTATCTGAAGAATAAATTTGACTCATTGAACACAAGTGACCAAAGACCAGACGACTTGTGGGATAACATTAAGAACATCATACATAAAGAAAGCAAAGGTCATTAAAAAGATAGGGAAGGAAGAAAAGACCAAAATGGATGTCAAAAGTGACTCTGAAACTTGCCCTTGAATGCAGCAAAAAAATACAACCACTGCCATGGAGTCAGATCCAACTCATAGTGACCCCTCCTTGGGTTTCTGAGGCAATATCACTATGGAAGTAGATTGCCCAACCTTCCTTCCAAGGAGTGGCTGGTGGGTTTGAACTGCCAGTCTTCTGGTTAGCAGTCAAATGCCTTAGGCACTACATCACCAGAGCTCCTGCCCTTGAATGGCAAGTAGCTAAAGAAAATGGAAGAAGTGATGAAATAAAAGAGCTGAACAGAAGATTTCAAAGGGTGGCTTAGGAAGACCATGTAAAGTAGTATAATGAAATGTGCAAAGACCTGGAGTAAGAAAACCGAAAGAGAAGAACACGCTCAGCATTTCTCAAGCAGAAAGAACTGAAGAAAACACTCAAGCCTTGAGTTGTAATACTGAAGGATTCTATGGGCAAAATATTGAACGATGCAGGAAGCATCAAAATAAGATAGAAGAAATTCAGAGTCACTTTAAAAGCCAAAAAGAATTGGTTGATGTTCAACCATTTCAGAAGGTTGCAATATTATCAAAAATCAATGGTATTGAAGGAAGAAGTCCAAGCTGCACTGAGGGAATTGGCAAAAAACAAGTCTCCAGGAACTGGCAGAAAATCTATTGAGATGCTTCAATAAACAGATGCAGTGCTGGAGGCTCTTACTTGTTTATGCCAAGAAATTTGGAAGATAGTTACCTGGCCAAATGACTGGAAGGGATCCATATTTGTGTTCATTCCAAAGAAGGGTGATCTGACACAATGTGGAAATTACTGAACCCAAGTGGTTAAGGCACTTGACTGCTAACCAGAAGTAGGGTGGTTCAAACCCAGAAGCCACTCCTTGGAAGGAAGATGGGGCAATCTATTTCCGTAGTGATACTGTCTCAGAAACCCAAGGAGGGGTCGCTATGAGTTGGGTCTGACTCGACAGCACATAACAACAACAACAACATCATCATTAATATCTCACACAAAATTTTGCTGAAGATAATTAAAAAATGGTTGCAGCATTGTATTGACCAGGGAGCTGCTAGAAATACAAGCCGGAGTCAGAACAGGGTATAGAAGGTGGGATATCATTGCTGATGTCAGATGGATCTTGTTTGAAAGCAGAAAACACCAGAAAGATGTTTACCTATATTTTATTGACTATGCAAAGGGATTCAACTATGTGTACCATAACAAATTATGAGTAATGTTGTGAGAATGGGAATTCCTGAACACTTAATTGTGTTCTTTGTTTCCAACTTTTGCATTCCAATCACCAGCCTGAGGTGGCTGGGTGTGGGGCTCGAGGGCTGCTTTTCACTTGGGGGCAGCTCTATTTTGGGGCCGGGGCCCCCGGTAGGTTTAGAAACAACTAAAGGAGACGAGTTTGTCTGCCAGTTTGTCATCCTTTGGTGGCTTACATGTTGCTGTGAGGCTGGAGGCTATGCCATCGTGTTGTAAAATGCCAGCAGGGTTACCCATGGTGGACAGGTTTCAGCAGCGCTTCCAGGCTAAGACAGACTCAGAAGAAGGAAGAGGCCATTCACTTCACAAACAATTGGCCAGTGAAAACCTTATGAACAGCAGTGAAACACTGTCTGATATATTCCTGGAAAACTTTATTAATAGCCCTGAAACATTGTCTGATATAGTACTGGAAGATGAGCCCATCAGGTCAGAAGGCACTCAAAGTTTGACTGGGGAAGAGCTGACTCCTCAGAGTAGAGATGACCTTATCGATATGGACAGAGTAAAGCTTTTGGGACCTGCATTGGCTGATGTGGCATGACTCATAATGAGTAGAAACAGATGCAAACATCCATTAATAATTGGAACGTGGAATGTACAAAGTATGAATCTAGGAAAATTGGAATCTGTCAAAAATGAAATGGAACTTATGCATAAAGATCAATATCCTAAGCATTAGTGAGCTGAAATGGACTGTTTCTGGCCACTTTGAATCAGACAACCATATGATCTACTATGCCTGGAATGACAAAGTGAGGAGGAATGGTATGGCATTCATCATCACAAAGACTGTTTCAAGATCTGTCCTGAAGTACAACACTGTCAGTGACAGGATAATATCCATACACCTCCAAGGAAGACCAGTTAATATTACTATTTAAATTTACACACCAACCACCAAAGCCAAAGGTGAGGAAATTGAAGATTTCTACTAACTTCTGCAGTCTGAATTTACTAACATCAATCAAGATATGTTGATTATCAATGGTGACTGGAATGAAAAAGTTGGAAACAAAGAAGAATTGCCGGTAGTTGGAAAATATGGCCTTGGTGATAAAGTAATACTGGAAGTCGCATGACAGAATTTTGCAAGACCAATGACTTATGCATTGCAAATACCTTTTTTCAACAACATAAGCGATGGCTATATATGTGGGCTTCACCAGATGAAATACACAGGAATCAGGTTGACCACATCTGTGGCAAGAGGTGATGGGGAAGTTCAATCTCTTCAGCCAAAACAAGGCCAGGAGCTGGTTGTGGAACAGACCATCAACTGCTCATATGCACGTTCAAGATGAAGTTGAAGACAGTTAAAACAAGTCCACAAGAGCCAAAATATGACTTTGATAATATCCCTCCTGAATTTAGAGACCATTTAAAGAATAGATTTGATGCA